TGGGTCTTCTCTCTTCTCCCCTAACTACTTACTTAGGCAGCTTATGAGGCACACACTCAACACTGAGAAAGAGAGAGCAGGTAAAACCAGAGGAATAAAGATCCAAGATGAGTAACAGGGTGAGCGCCAGGAGCCGCGACGTGCACAGGCAGGCGTGGAGCACAGCGCCAAAGCTGAGCCGTGCTGTGGACAGCCCACGGCAGGAGCCGCGCCTGCAGGTCGGCCTGGCTCTGCCGTTGGACACCAGACGCAGCTTCTTCCGTGAGAATCAACACTGCCACTGATCCAGGACCAAGTCAGGGCAGCTTGTCCGGGAGGCCCAGCCCACAGTGGGCTCTAGGAAAGGCTGGGGGTGGGGGGCCCAGGGTGAGGAAGAGTCCTGAGCACTCCTCACAGTACCCTGCTAGGAGCCTCCAGGCAGGGACCCAGTGGGGGTTCCTTCTGAGCCACCAGACCAGAGGCCTGTAACTGGCATTTTTAGATCCATGTTCACAAGAGGGACCACAGTGAGAATGGAGACGATTCCTTCAGTACATCCTGTGCTGTTGAAACAAAATCAAAGAGTAAGTCATACCCAAAGTGGTGTTTTCTCCTGGTGTCAGTCGACAGCAAACTATTCTTTTTAACTACCTGGATTTTTTCTTTAATTTGACCTGCATTTGCCATGACTTTAAAGAGCCACGTTTGGCCCTGGCTGGTGTGGCTCAGCTGGTTGGGCGTTGTCCCATGCACCCAAAGGTTGCCAGTTTGATTTCCATTCAGGGCATTCGCAGGCTTGATCCCTGGTAGGGGCACAGGAGGCAACTGATACATGTTTTGCTCTCACATCAGTGTTTCTCCTCTCTCTCCCTCTTCCTTCCTCTCTCTAGAAATCAGTTTAAAATATTAAAAAATAAGCCCTGGCCAGTTTGGCTAAGCGGATAGAGTGATGGCCTGTGGACCAAAAGGCTCCAGGTTCGATTCAGGTCAAGGGCACATACCTTGATTGCAGGCTCCTCCCCGGCCTGGGCCCTGGTACAGGAGGCAACCGATCGATGTGTCTCTCTCACATCGGTGTTTCTCTTTGTCTTTCCCTCTCTCCTCCACTCTCCCTAAAAATCAATGGAAAAATATGCTCAGGTGAGGACTGACAAAAAAATAAAAAATAAGATAAAAAAAATAAAATATTAAAAAAACAAAAGAAAAGAAAGAACCAACTTTGCTCCAGTTCCTAGAAGGGCATGTTTTTGGCTTTTCCAGGGAAAACACTCCCACTCGTTAGAGTTTGCCGTGCTGCCGTTCTGAAAGGAGGCCTTGGGAGAGGGTTTCCAGAGCCCAGCAGGGCCCTGGGTCCATGTGGCCTGACAGTCTAATCTTTATGTTTGCATTCAGTCTACATTGCGTCGCAGGAGCAAGCCAGAGCGGAAGGAGCGCATCAGCGAGCAGACCTACCAGCTGTCACGATGGACCCCGATTATTAAAGACATCATGGAGGTCAGTGATGTCGGGTGGGGGTGTGGAGACAGACTCCAGGCCCAGGGCTCTTCACGTAAAGGCCTGATGCTTCCAGCTCCACTGCCTAGCAGGGGCAGTGACGCCCAAAGGACTGGCTTCCAGAGCTCTCTCAGGCCTCATAGCACGTCTTGTCCTGGGGCTGGTGAAGAGCAGGCCCAATAGACGGCCAGGCGCAGGTCCCAAGACCACGTGATATCTAGGCAGCAGGAGGCAGAGACCCCTCAGTGGTACCGCACCCAGAGGAACCCAACAGATCACAGCACCAAAAGGTCCCATGAGTAGCGAGTTCCATACTGGGTGTGGGTGGGCCTCTGGAATGTGAGCCCAGCCTGCCTCCCTTCTCCCACTTATCCCGCACCTCAGTCCTCCAGGCCAACCAGAGACCCTGCCAAGCATATTTCTGCTTCTCCTCTTCTGTTCAAACCCACCCCTTGTCTGGAGTGGTCTCACTCTCCTTCCCGCTTCCTGAAGCCTCTTCCTTCAAAGCCCCCATCCCGTCTCACTGTGCCACCCCCCACCCCACCTGGCCAACCCGCCCCACAGAGGCCGCCTGGACTCCTGGAGCCTATGTTAGGGGGGTTCTTTGAGCACGTATGCCGCTTGTTGTTTGGCTCATCTTTTTATACCTTGGTTCTATGCCCTCAACTGCTGCGTCCTCTGGCCCCATGCTTTGTGCATAGTAGGTGTTTCACGTTTGTTAGGCGCCTGTCCTTCCCATCTCTTCTTGTAGGTCAGGGAAGCTGCGTGGAATCCCACCTGCTAGATGTTGGGGGCGGGATTAGAGCTAATCGGTCCAATTCCTCACTTGACAGGCAGATGGCACTGGGGTCGGAGAATGAAGAGACGTGCTCAGGTTCCCTTTGTTGACTCATAGCAGAGCAGGTGTTCGCACTGATTGTACGTTAAAATAAATGTATTTTAAATATATACAGTGAGTCAGCTTCCTGTTTTTAAAACTCGCGAACCAAAAGGCTGGGTGAACATGAGACATCTAGGAACCAAAGGCAATTGTTGGCTTGCTGCAGAGATAAAGCCAGCCCCTGTCTCATCCCTCCTTTGTTCTCTGCTCCCTTTTCTGCCCCTCCTTCCCGGACCCCCAGGGAGATGTGTATGCTCCGCACACGGTAACTGGTAGGGGGAGTGTAGGTTTCTAGGCAGCAGGAGGTGGGGAGCTGGGATCCACCCACCAGATAATTAGCCCCTTGGGCAACTGAGGGTGGAAGGCTTTCTCCTGCCTGAGAGACTGGCTGTGCCTAGTGTCTACAAGGCTGATGGTGCAGGAATTTATGGGACAGGATACAGCACAGTCTCACATAGAATGTAAAAGAGGGAGAAAAAAGAATTAATTGGAAGCAAAGCAAGAAAAACCAATGCAATTTTTAAAAATTTCTCTTAACGAGCAGACCTACAGACTAATCTCAGCACGTCGGCTGCTTCTGGAGCATCCTCCACACGGGCACTGCCCTGGGCAGTGGCAGCAGCAGCGGGAGCAGGGAGGGGTCTGGATGCTGCAAACCTGGCATGGTTTTCAATAAGTGACTTGTTCAAATTCTCACCTGGCTTCCGTCAGCCCTTTTCTAGCAGGTGGCAGACCTAACATCGGTGTCTTCTCTTTTTATATATTTGTATTGATTTCAGAGAGGGGAGAGAGATAGAAACATCAGTGATAAGAGAGAATCATTGCTCGGCTGCCTCTTGCACGCCCCACACTGGGGATCGAGCCCACAACCCAGGCATGTGCCCTGACCCGAAACAAACCATGACCTCCTGGTTTATGGGTCGACGCACAACCACTGAGCCACACAGGCTGGGCAACATCAGTCTCTTTTCTTTCCAGGACACCATTGAGGACAAGCTCGATACCAAGCACTACCCTTACATCTCTACCCGCTCCTCTGCCTCCTTCAGCACCACCGCCGTCAGGTGAGATGCCCGAGCAGGCAGGCGGCAGTGAGGGGACTGGCCCTGGTGGCATGTCAGCTGCACAGCAGTCCCGTTGTGATACCGCGTGGCCGTGAGCCCCTCCCGCTGTGCTCATCGCAGCCAGGTGCAGGCCGGCCCTGACAGCGCCACCCGCCCACAAGGCCCTTCCTCTCAGTGCAGGAGGCCCTGGCCCAGTGAGGCATCTGTGCACATTTGCTGTTCCTTTGGCTCTGCTGTTCCTGCTCACTGCCAGCAGAGTGCCCATTCACAGCTAGGAACGTTTACCCCCGGGGGTAGACTCCTGGACGAACAGCACGCCGGAGGAGCTGCTGAACTTAGCATGTCACACAGTAAAGCCGACCTGAACCTGGCTGCTGCCTACATGTTTCTAAGAGACTGACAGGTGGCAGCAGGGCGCTCGTAACAATTCTGCTCCTGGCCCCACTGCGGTTCATTCACAACACTCACTACACAGCCTCTCTGTGTCACTGTGTACAGACGAACATGTAAATGTGTCACGCAGGTATGACGTGCAGGTACTTGAGTGCGGGTGAACATTACTAATCTCTCCCCTGCCCCCCTCAGCGCCCGCTATGGGCACTGGCATAAGAACAAGGCCCCGGGCGAGTACCGCAGTGGTCCCCGCCTCATCATCTTCATCCTGGGAGGCGTGAGCCTGAGCGAGATGCGCTGCGCCTACGAGGTGACCCAGGCCAATGGCAAGTGGGAAGTGCTGATAGGTGAGTGGGCCTGTTTTCCAGGGGGCGGGGCTGCTTCTCCGCACTGGGCTCCATTCCATGCTTTGGTGTCTCATTCTGTCCTCGACTCCACTGCCCCTGCCAGACGTCATCTCTAGAGCTGTTCATGGTTGGCAAAAGCTAAGGGGCGAGGTTCCTCGTGTCTGCGTGTGGTGGGAGGGGCCTGGCACAGACTCCAGCAGCCCAGGCCCACTTTCTGCTCTGCCCCTGCCTGTGGGTCATGCGCCCCACCTCTCCAGGCTGCCATCTCCTTATCCAACCAAACAGGCTAAGAACACCCACTTACAGCCCAAACTAGACCTAAGGTGGGACTTGTCCGTGTCCTGGCATTGGGCCTCACACTGAGGTGCTCGGTAAAAAGAAGGTAAACTCTGACCCCCTTTACCTCTCCGTCAGAGATGGACAGACCAGACATGCATCTGAGCAGATACTGCCCGAGGCGTGCTGGCCTCTGCCCAGGGTTCCCCTCCGGCCCTACTACTTCCCGGTCTCTCACACCCCGTCTGCGATTTCCTGATGGTTTTCCAGAAGAAAGGAAGCACCTCACAGGAGCTGACTTAATGCAGCAGGCGGTGCTTCTCCTTATCATGCGTGTAGGCACGCCCACAGTTCTAGGGTTGGAAGAGAAAGAGGGAGCTGAGAAAAATCTTGCTTTCTCCACGTTTTCCTCAGTCCCTCCTCTCCCTTAACAAAATAGAGTGGCACTTGCCCGGGTGCCTCTTGACAGTAATTGGCAAGAGGCTATCAGCACATACTACCTGGCCAGGTCCTGCCCTCTCTCCTTATCTCGATAAGACGAGTCAGCTTCGTGCCTCTCCTTTGGAGAGGCCAAGTCACGGTGCCCCCCAGGCTCTCAGAGGAGCAGGTTCTACACACCCGTCACGTGGTGTCCCTGGTGTCTCAAGATGGACCCAGAAGCACCATTCAGTGGGGAGATTGGACATTCTTCCTCCCGTCCCCGCTCCCTGGAGCTCCCCCGTGTGGTCGCCATTTCTCCCTGTATTGTTCCTTCCCGTTTGTAGACCCCCCTCCTCACCCCCCGCGATGAAGCTCTCTGCTCCCTGCTTGCATATGTGTTGCATGCGTGTGTTGGATAATTCTTAGCTCAAACACAGTTTTCCTGGGCAGAAGCTGTCAGAGCCGGGCTTGGGGGTAAATCACCATCTTCAGCTTTGGCCCTGACCTGAGGTTCCCCATTGGGAGGTGGTATAACCTGAGGAGATGAAGTGACCCACAGATTTTTGGAGGGGTCTCGCTCCGACAGCCGATGTCCGCTGTGTGGCCTCACCCGCTTTTGTGCATGCCAGTCATGCTTGCAGATCGTGTGCCTGTGTGCGTGCCTGGGTGCGTGCCTGTGCGTGCTCATGTGTGTGCGTGCGCGTGCTCGTGTGTCTTGCTTTCTCATATCTCATTGGCTGCATAAAACGTAGGCCTAAGTTGGCATGTTCCTGTTCCGTACCTTTGTTCAAGCAGTCAGCTGGCCTCTGTTCTCCCGCAGGTTCTACTCATATTCTTACTCCCACCAAATTTCTCATGGACCTGAGACACCCCGACTTCAGGGAGTCCTCTAGGGTATCTTTTGAGGATCAGGCTCCAACAATGGAGTGAGAGCCAAAGAAACAAAGTAAAAGCAGCTTATTACAGAAAAGAAACTCTTCCTCTCTGAAGGGCTTTCTTTGATTATTCCGTCACTCTTTATTTCTTCTGTTTTTAGTTTATTATTTATTTGATTTTCCTTTAACAAGAAAATGCTTGCAGTTCTTAACACTGATTGAAAATGTGTCCGATGCTGCCTTCACCCACTGGCCACGGAGCCTCCGGGCCGGCCCGCGGGCTCTCTCCTGCCCTGGGTCCCCTGCTGCTCAGCCCACAGCACAGCCCCCGGGGCTTTAACCTGAGAATGGGAATAATGCTGTGAGCAGCCCTCCAGAGGGGTTGAGGGATGCCAGAGGGTCGCGCCCACACCTGGTGCTCAGGGATGCGTTTGTGGGCACCTTGTCCAGGTTGGGGTGTGGGGTGGGAACCTGAGCACAAGGCCAGCAGGCTTCCCAGGGACACCCCTGGGTGACCGGTTGTGGGGGAGGCTCTGCGGAGAGCGTCAGAGTAGATCCGAGTCATTGGTAGTGAGACATGTGAATGCCACTTCCCCGGACAGCCCTTAGCCCAGGGAACAAGGGGTCACAGGCCACCATGCACTTGGTGAGCTCCCGCCAGCCACGGAAGAGCTCCTGTCCCGTGTTCCTCTGGGGAAAGGGCACTTAGTAGCCATTTGCTCTTTCGGTAACTGCTTTCATTTTAACCTCCTGTGATCCTTCCGAGAGTTGAATAATCACCCTCCTCACCCACTGAAGCCTCTCGTGCTGAGAGCCTTTGGGTAGAAATCGCTCTCCCACCGCACTGCACCTGCTCTGTCACCCAGGAACCTGCTTCTGTTCGGTAGATTATCCAGATTTTGTTCTTGTCCTCGTCCCCTCCTCTCTCCTCCCGTTCTCCCTACGTGCTGGGAACCTCCTCGGATGCGTGTAAATGGCAGACTGACCCAGAACGCCACTGGAACGTTACTCAGGCCTCAGCTTCGCTGCCCGTTCTGTGACGAGGCCACAGTTTGTGTACCTGCTTCATAGACTCCATTGACATGGGCCCTGAAAATGTCCCCTCCCTCTGGGCTGAGCTGTGGCCCAGTGAGTCTTCAGAATGTGAGTCACCTTGAGCAGTGGGGAGGCCTGGACTCCGGCCCCAGCTCTGCCACGAGGACCCATGACTAGGTCATTCCCACTTCCTGGGCCACAGTGTATGGACCACAGGGAGGCTGGACCGTAGCGCCCCAAGGCTCCTCCTCAGATTGGTGACTCAAGCCATGCAGCCCTACCCATTCTCGGCTCCCTGTTGACCTCAGGGGAAAGCCATCAGCACCTTGGCTGGGAAACCTGGAAACTTTATATGGAGGTGAGAAATAGTAGGGGGCTGTGTGAGCCAGGACACTGGGGCTGGCTATGGCCTGAGTACCTCCCATTCTGCCCAGGCTCCTTCCCAAGGGAAGCCAAACCTGTGGGCACTGAATAAACAGTCATTGTTTCGAAGCATTTTGGGAGGTGGGTAATCAGAATCAGAGCTTCTAGTTCTGTGTGCAGGTGGCAGGTGGCAGGTGGGTGGATGACATTTACTGCAAGGTGTGTTTTTTTAATTGATTTCGAGACAGAGAGAGAGAGAGAGATGGATTTGTTGCTCCACTTATGCATTCATCAGTTGATTCTTGTACGTGCCCTCACTGGGGGTGGAACCTGTAACTTGTCATATCAGAACGATGCTCTAACCAACTGAGCACCCGGCCAGTGAGAGAAGGGTTTTGTCCCAGCAGACAGCTGTGTCTGCCCACAGCGCTCAGTCTTTGGGATGACTCTGTTCTTGGAGACCCCATTCACATTTCTCAACCTTCCATTATGTAGACTAAGAGCAGTGGGACCCTCTTGCTGTTCTAAAGGGCCTATGTGGTCAGCTACCTGTGAGTTCAAAGTGAGAACATTGGCAAATTGTGGTTTAAACCCACCCCGCTCAATTAGCAATATTTGTGGTGGTGGAAAGCCTAACCAAGTCTTAAAGCAGTACAGGTGATTGGTGGCAAGAATGGGCTCTCAGCTGCTCTGGGTCCTTTGAAGAGGCCAGTGAGCGAGGGCCCAGCACCGTGCCTGGCACAGAGTCCTACAGACTCTCTAGTTGCCCAGTACTCTTGGTCCTGGGTTTTCTTCTTTCAGTCAAAGACTGGGAACACCAGATGGTCAGTGATCAGATAATATCAGAAAATTCTAGAGCGTGATGGATTCCTTAACCTCTTTTTGGCCTCCCCCAAATCCTGAATTTGCAAGGAAGCAAGGGCAGGGGGAGCACTTTGGGACGGGCACCTGATCAGAGGTCCTCCTTTTGACTTTTCCTCTAGCTTGAGTTGGCCTCTGTATTTTCTGGAGTCAGTGGATGGCCTGGAGGGGTGTTAGGGATGGTTTTCTCTGGCACATGTGCTGCTGTTGTCTCAACCTAGGATGCCCTTGAGCTAACCCTGCACCCAGAGCCCAGGGCTGTCTTTCAGGGTGTAGACACACAGTCCGTGTGGATTGAAATTGGAAAGCCCTCATTCTCACAACGGTTCACTGTTAGGAATTTGTAACATTTGAGTCCTGCTTCCCCATTTGCAGACAGTCTGACTTTCTTTAGGACGCATGGTGAGATGGGTAGAGTCACAGAAATGTGTGTTCTGGGGGACATGCTGCTGAAGCCTCTGTCACGTTTGCAGAGGAGCCTCAGTGCAGGATAATGAGTCAGCTTTAGAGCTGGGGCCTGGGGCCTGCGGCCGGGGCATCACTCGGCTCCTAGCAGTGACAGGTGCCTGGGACTTGCACTGCAGGGAATGGGGCATCGGGAGGAACCCCTCACACCAAGGAAGGCTTTACGAGTTTAACTGACCAGGAAGGTCCAAGGCCTGCAGCTCCAGCAGTCACTGGTCAGCTGGGCAAGTAGTGGTCAGAGGCACAGGGACCCTGGTGTGTGGGATCCCGCCCAGCAAGCCAGCCTGGGCCTTCTGTGCCTGCCGCGCTCGGGCCGGGGGATCTGGCATCCTGAGGTTTCTGCCCCCCTCGTCCCATGAAGGCCATGCCTGCACCCGCATCTCCAGGGAGGCACATTTTCAAGTACAGGTCTCTTTTGTTCAGTTCTTCTCTCCCACCGGGATCTTTCTTTGACGGCCACTGCTGCATGCGTGCAGGCCTCATGCTCACACACCAGCCACTTCTGTTCTGTTTGAGTATGTCCATGTCCAAACCACACGATCCATGCATCTTTTTTCACTGCACTTTCTAGATCTCTCTCCTTATGAAAAGGACTTCATTTACTTTTATTTACTTATTATTTTGTGGTAGAAGTTATACCTAATTCCATTAGCTTAAATTTTTGCAAGCATTTCTAATCTCTTACAATGCACGATCTCTATAAGGTAAGGCCTCAGGTCCCCACCCTCTCCCTTTCACACCTGAGGTCCCGCCCACCACGGCAGTCCCAAGCATCTGCTCCCAGAGGTCAGTGGCTTCCCCCAGGGTGTTCTGCCCACCAGCTGCCTCCCTACCAGGCACCATTCTTTCCACACACAGGCCCCACATAGTCCCCGCCCCATTCCCAACCTTCCCCTGCCATGTGGTTTGGAATTCCTCTCCCTGCTTCACCTTGAGTTCAAAATGCAGCTGCCTCATGTCCTGCAGATGGCGCTGAGCCCTGAGGGGGAGGCCTGGGACCCTGCTTGAGCCAGAGGATTTTTTTTAAAAATATATTTCATTGATTTTTTACAGAGAGGAAGGGAGAGAGTTAGAAACATCGATGAGAGAGAAACATCGATCAGCTGCCTCCTGCACATCCCCTACTGGGGATGTGCCCGCAACCCAGGTACATGCCCTTGACCGGAATCGAACCTGGGACCCTTCAGTCCGCAGGCTGACGCTTTATCCACCAAGCCAAACCGGTTTCGGCTAGCCAGAGGATTTTTTAAAAATATATTTTTTTATTGATTTCAGAGAGGAAGGGAGAGGGAGGGAGAGATAGAAAAATCAATGATGAGAGAGAATCATTGATCGGCTGCCCCCTGCATGCCCCCCACTGGGGATCGAGCCCACCACCCAGGCATGTGCCCTTGACCAGAATTGAACCCGTGACCCTTCAGTCCGCAGGCTGACGCTCTATCCGCTGAGCCAAGCCGGCCAGGGCAACCAGAGGCTGTTTCGTTTATCCCCAGTCCCCAAATGTCTCCCAGCCCCAAATGTGACTTGGCCCCAAAGCCTAATCCCCAACCCCCTACCTGCCTCCACTGACCACACCAGGGTGGGGCGGGGGATTGGGTGCAGGTCTGGGAACCTCGAGGAGCAGGGAAGGAAGACGCATCCTGAACGAGAGCCGGCGAGCTCACTGTCTTCTCTGCCTCCCTCAGGATCCACGCAGATTCTCACCCCACAAAAACTGCTGGACACGCTGAAGAAACTGAATAAAACAGATGAAGAAATAAGCACTTAAAACAATAAGCTGCCCCTCCAAAAAGTGAACCTCTTCCCCCCCGCGCTCTGCAGCCCTGCCGCTGCCCGCTGCCCGCTGTCCGCAGTGGTTCCTTTGCTGACCCTCTGTCCCTCCCTGCCTCCCAGCTCTGCACGCCCTAGTCGGCGCTGTTGCCGCTGCATTCTCGTGTTTAATGATGCCCTCTTCTCTTTGAAACAAAAGAAAATAATGCATTGTGTTTTTTAAAAAGACTGTCTTCTATATGTGCCCTGAGAGGAGAGGTTCGTGTGTAAGTGGCGTGCTGCTGGAGAAGTTCTGGGACTGTTCAGATGAATGGACACCTCCTCCCCATTCATTATGATTCCGTGACCTTGTACATAACCTGGTGCGACACATGCAGATTGCCTGAGTGTGGGAAGACGGATGCTTGAGTGTTTTTAAGAACCTGTCTGGGTTGTTTCTGTTCTTATTGGGACTCAGATGTCTGTTCCAGGAGTATTTCAAACTGAGGCTCTCTGTCCACTCAGTTCCCATGTCCCAGGACCTGCTCTCATCAGGTAGGCTGGGCAGTGAGGCCCAGGTGGCATCTCGGAGGCTGGAGCTGGAACCCACCTCTGCTTTCCTCGGTGGCCCATATCCCCAGTGCTGTGGCTGTGGCTGTGGGTGGGGGCTGGTGTTCAGCTTGTTACCGTGCCCTCCCTGGCTGCGTCCGCAGCGCTGTGACCCTGAGGGAAGTCACTCTGTGGTCTAAGTCACTGCCCAAACCAGTGAGGAGCAAGCTCCCCCTGGAGACCGTGGTCTCCTGGAGAAGGGGTTAGGCCTGATCTTTTGACCAGAGAAGCTCTTTCTTAGTGGAGTCGGCCTGGGAGAGCTCAGGGGTCAGGAATGGACTAGAACAGAGTGGGCTCTGCAGGACGCTGTCAGAGGGCCTTCCCCGTAGAGAGGGCCCATCCCCTAAGACGTCAGATGGCCGGGATCATAGCCCAAGGGATGTATACAGACCGTTGCCCGCTCAGATGACCCTCAGTGGAAGATACTTCCTGATATTTTATTTTTTGTAGTGAGGGGTCATATGTTGTTGTGCTTGTAGAGAAAATGATCATTTTATTCCCTGTATAAAAACCTAGCTGTATAAAACTTAGCTCTAATGCAAAACTTAAAGAAGCAAATGCAGGCAGGATGTCTCGTCATCCTCAAGACTCAGCAGTTCTCGTTCCTGGGAGTGAGCACACCGTTTGTTCTGCTGCTGTTGTCATGAAATATAATGACAGTGGAAGTCACAAAAATGTCCCCTGTCCAGCCCCCGCCACCCTTTTACTCCTGCAGACCGCGTGTATATTCCTGTCTCGTGATGTCGTTGCAAACGTGGTGTGTGCTAGTTTAACTCGCCCGCTCTCCTTTCAGAACATGTTCCTCGCCCGCCCGGTAGATGCCTGTGGTGTCCTCTCCTCACGGCTTGGAAACCTCTCTCCCCTTTGCAGTCAGATTAGTTTGCAGGTCTGTCTCCCCTCTCCCCTTAAGACATCTTATTTCCTTAGGACAGAGCTGTAGGTACTTGCATTGGTTGGTTTCTTACTGTTACTGCTTGTTTTGTCCCCTCCCTGTGACCAATGCTCATGCTTCAGGACCTTGTTTGTTGAACATGTTGGTTTTCCTTTCTCTGTTATTTATAGAAACATAATTTATCAAAAGGATATTTTAAAAATCTAGTCTGTCTTGAAACTTGTTTACCTTGAAATTATCAGAATCTCAGTGTTTGAAAGTATTGAAGCACAAACATGTATCATCTCTGTACTGTTCTGTACTAAAGTACTTGAGTCTAATAAATGAATAATTCGGCGCCCACTCATGGTGTCCAAGGTGACTCTGGGCTGGTTTCACTGTGGGAAGTGGAAAGGAAGGCTTCTGCAGTGGTCCATGGCAGAGGAGTCCAGCCACCCCGACCACGGCTTGGAGTCTCCCAGATCCAGGTCTCCGTTACTTGCATTAAGATCTGTAGCTGTTGCACATTTGGGGACAATCCGTGAAGCTTGTCTTGGCCCCTAGCCGCAACAGCAAGCTACCTGTAGATGATATGGTCCTTCCATCGCCCTATTTCTCTGTGTCTAGAATGTCTCCATCTCAGGGCCTGCAGGCTGGAGGCCTCCACCAGATCCTGCTCAGGTGCCTGTACAGCCATGTTGGTGTGACACCAGGCTTTTGTTCCTGGGAGGCAGAATGGCAGTGACTAGGAGCACAGACCTTGGCATCAAGCAGGCTTGGCTCAAATCCACATGAACTTGATGAGGAACTTTGTCCCCTCCTGTGAGTGATGCCTGTGGAAGAGTAATGCTGAGCTGAAGGATAATTTTGCTGGATATAGAATTCTTGGTTGACTGTTTTTTTCTTTCAGCACTTTCTCATTCTACTGCCTGTGTGGAAACTTAGATTTTCTTTTTTTAATTAAAAAAAATTATTCAGCCCTAGCCTGTTTGGCTCAGTGGATAGAGCATCAGCCTGCAGACTCAAGGGTCCCAGGTTCGATTCCGGTCAGGGGCATGTACCTTGGTTGGGGGCACATCCCCAGTGGGGGGTGTGCAGGAGGCAGCTAATCAATGTTTCTCTCTCATCAATGTTTCTAACTCTCTATCCCTCTCCCTTCCTCTCTGTAAAAAATCAATAAAATATATTTTTTAAAAAAATAAAATAAAAAAATTATTCATTTTAGAGAGGAAGGGAGAGGGAGATAGAGATAGAAACATCAATGATGAGAGAGAATCATCAATTGGCTGCCTCCTGCACATCCCCAACTGGGGATTGAGCCCGCAACCCAGGCATGTGGCCTGACTGGGAATTGAATCATGACCTTCTGATTCATAGGTGGATGCTCAACCATTGAGCCACACCAGTGGGCATAGTTTCTTAAATGAATGTTTTCCCATTTTCTCTACACCCTTAGAACAATTTCCAGACACTTTAAATAATTATTTCTTTTTTTAAAAAGTTCAATTAACTTGTCTTGCTGAAGGGAAGGTGGATCGAACTCCTTACTATGCTATTCGGGAATCCCCTCCACGTGCGGTCTGACAGTAAGCAGATGTTTATGAGTGCCTACTGTGTGCCAACTTCCATCCTAGGCTCTAGGAATGCAGCCACAAACAAGGCAGACTGGGTCCTCATGAGCTCACACTAGTGGGCGGTAGTACTGTATCACACACACACCCTGTATGAACAGATCTCTCTTATGTCATGTGTTCCATAGAGGTTGGCAAGATGTCAGGTATGTTTAATGATGCCTGCGCCCCCCATCCCCCCCGCCATCGCCATTGGTCCTAGGCTTCCTTCCCTCCAGAACCTTCCAGAGGTGGCAGTGCCCCAGCCCACCGGCCACTGCCCTGGACTGATGCTGCCGCCTACTGGGCTGTGTGCACTGCACCTGCTCCTCTCAGAAGACCCAGATCACAAAGTCAAGAGGCCCTGGGCCCACCACCAGTCCCCAGTGTGGACACAGGTTAAGAAGCAGCAGTGAGATGGTGTCACTGGGAAAGGTGATGACTAGAGGCTCTCCAGGCAAACTCCAGAAAGGAGTATCCTTCAACCTGCAGCATTCCCTTCCCCACCCCACCACCCAGAGGTCTGGCCGGAAAGTCCAGCTGGTCACTTGCTGTGTGACTGCAGCTGCTTTTATAAACCTGGCCCTGACCCCCAGGAGGAAGTACAGGCCCAAGAGCTGATACCTTCTGTGGGCTCTAGGCAGCCCATCAGCCTGGGGATTCAGAACTACCCCTGAGATGGGCCTCAGGTAAAAGGGCAGCAACCCGGGAGGCATGAGGAGGGAGAAGGCAGCTGGGGATTCAGGCACCATGGGGATCCTTTGCCTGGGCGGGGCTCTGTGGGGGAGCCTCCCACGTCAGTGAGGCAGCAATCTCCAGCTGAACGGATGGCCATGACTTTAGGCTGGAGGGCTAGTCCCTCTGCTGGCCCCAAGTTTTGGGTACTGGGTCAGGGCTCCCTCCCCTCTGGGACCTGTATTGCCCTGTTTGCAGTCCAGGGCAGACAAACTCAAGCCCACCTTTAACCAACCACTGCTCCAACCTGCCTCATTGCCAAAAGTAAACACCTACCTCCCTGTTTCTGAACGTCCCTGTCCCCTGGCACCCACCGCAAGGATCCAGCCACTCAAACCAACCCCTAAGGCTGCAGTAATAGAGCTTCACCTTGTCTAGCCTTCAGACTTCCAGGAGGGACTGTCACCTCTTGCTAAGTGCCAAGCCCTAGGACAACAGGGAGGAAGAGGACCTGCCCCTGTCTCAGGAGTGCCTGGGCCACAAGCACTGGGTGAATACCACAGGCCTACAGGCATGATCTCCGGGAGAGGGGAGGAGATGGGGCATGAGAGGCCAGCCAGGGCATCAGCCAGCTGGACACCTACCGCGCCCTCTCCCGCCCCCCAGCCCAGGACGCTGCCACCCAAGGCAAAGCTACAGAGTACACCTTTATTTGCCAGGGTCAGCGTGGGACAAAGAGGCACTTTCCCCGAGCCGGGTGGAAAATTGAGCCAGCCTCTGTACAGGGACGGCCTGGGACCCCGTATGGGAGCCTCCTATATGAAACATCTATTTCTTTTTTTAAAAAATATATTTTTTTATTGATTTCAGAAAGGAAGGGAGAGGGGGACATAGAAATATCAATGATGAGAAAGAATCATTAATCAGCTGCCTCCTGTGCCCACACCGGAGATCGAGCCCACAACCCAGGCATCTGGCCCGACCGGAATCGAACCGTGACCTCCCGCTTCCTAGGTCGATGCTCACTAAATACCTATCCTTACCGTACCGCCTCCCCGCCTGCTTTGGGTGAACCCAGAGGAGGATTCTGCTACGTAGCTGCATCACCAAAGAATTAAGCTGGTCTCAGGCCTCAGGGGAGGGGTTTCTTGGCCTGGGGCCTGGTGAACAGCTTCTTCTGGTCCTGGGGAGCTCTGAGGCAGATGTCCCCTCTGATCAGCACCAAGGGGCAGGGTAGTGACTTCGAGGGCTCAGAACCACTGTAATATTTCTATGTCACTTACTGCCACCTGGGGGGGGGGGTCTCCCTAGAGCCCAAGAGTGCCCTGAGAGCCTGGCATCCTGGTCTGGAGACACCAGGGCCTAGGAAACCCCAACCTAGAGCCTCTCTGGAGGTGCTGTCAGCCTTGGAGGCGGAGACCATTCGCCAGTGCCCGCCTTGCCCAAAATAGGGCAGGGCCCCTTTAAGCCTTGTTTCATTCCTTCAGTTTGTTGCTATGTATGAGACCAACTTCCTTAGCAACCACCTGGTCTTTAAAGGAGTCCTGAGGTAGCGGTGGCTACCAGCCATGGCTCCCAAAAAGAAGGCAAAGAAGGGGGCAAAGGAGCTCGAGGCCAAGAAGAAAAGTGCCAAGAAGGAGCCCAACGTGGTCATGGATATGGTTTTGGCCGAGGAGCTACGGGAGTTCTACCACATCCAGATCCGAGACCTGGAGGACAGGCTGGCCCGGTGGGTCAGAAGCTCTGCCCAGAGCTGGCCACTGCGCAGGCTCAGCTGGGGATGGTAGTGTGTGTGTGTGTGTGTGTGTGTGTGTGTGTGTGTGTGGGTGTGTGTGTGTGTGTGTAACTCTTCCAAGACATGTTCACCTGGCCATTTTTCTTATTTTCAAACCAAGTTTCCTCCCAGTTAGGATGCACTGGCTCAGTCTCAGGGTCACCCTTAGAAGACCCTTTGGTAATGAGCAAGAGCCCCACATGCTGCAGATAAGCTAACATGGACTCCTTCATGTGTGCCAGGCGGGTCCTGTGCTGTGCTCACTGTGTCCCTGAAACAGCCAGGAGAGGTCTCCGTGGCATCCCTACTGCACAGACGGAAGGTCTGAGGCTCAGGGAGGGGAAGGCACCTCGGGAGGCAGAGGGGGCAGAATGGGAGCTCTGGCCCCCTGACTTCCCTCCATCAGGCTGCTTCCTTGCTCCACACAGCAGGTCATTTGGTTTGCACCCTGCAGGGCCCTGTCTGCAGTAGCCGTTCAAAAGATGTTGGTTGGGTAAATTATGAAGTAAAACATCTTTCCAAATAACTTCACCAATTATTCCCTAGGAAACCAATAGATCAGTCATATGACACTCTTAAAAATTCACGAGCTTCCTTCAAGCTGAGACACTGGGTTGAATGTATTTGGGGAAAATGCGTTTGGGAGACAGTACTGGGCGCTTACTATTTGCTAAGCTCCTCTGCCAGGCCCCAAGAATACCATGGTGAAGGAGGTAAGAGGTCGACCAGGGGGAGAAAACAGACACGTCAGGTCTTGACTGCCCAGTGAGACAAGGGCTAACCTACTAAAGGGCACCCCAGAGAGGGTCACAAATATGGCTCAGAGCCAAGAGGACTCCACTGAGGAGGTAGCTAACTCAGTGGATGAAGGTAAGGAAGATAGCAGGTGCAAAGGCTAGGGAGCGCACAGAGCTGGTCGACTTGGGCAGTTAAGTGTTGTAGTTGAGCCTCGACTTTGAGGTCAGATTGACTTGAGTTCAAGTTCTGGTTTTGCCACTTACTAGGAGTTTGTCCCTCTGAGCCTCCGTTTTCTCATCTGTCAAATGGGCATAATCATCATAGTACCCATGTCCTGTTGTGAGAATGCAGCAAATACACAGGGTACCTGCTATGTACCAGGCACAGTCCTAGGTGTTGGGGACACAGCTGTGAACACAAGAGAGAAAGGCTCTGCCCTCAGGGAACTTACATGCTAATGATGTGATGAAGGTAATGCACTGAGCAGGCACTGGCTATGGTCGTGAGTGCAGGTCAGGGGGAGATGAGGCTGGATTCTGACCATGAGGAACCTCAAATGCCCCTCTGTGAGAGGGTCTTGAGGAGGTTGGCCCAGTTGCAGGCCTGGCGTGCCCAGACCCCTGGAGCTCTGCCCCGCCCTCGCCTCAGGTACCAGCACAAGTGGGATGAGCTGGCCGTGCAGGAGAAGCTGTTCCGCCAGGAGTATGAGCAGCTGGCCAGCAATAAGAAGGAGATTGTGGCCTTCCTCAAGCGGACGCTCAACCAGCGGGTGGATGAGATCGCCGACCTCAACGAGCAGCTGCAAAGCCTGCAGCTGGCCAAGGAGATGGAGAAGGACGCCTTTGAAGCCCAGTTAGCTCAGGTGCGCCATGAGTTCCAGGAGACCAAGGACCAGCTCACCACGGAGAACATCATCATTGGTGAGGGGGCCTGGGTGCACCTGCCATGGAGACAGGGAATCCCAGACTCTGGGTCTGTGGGCTCAAGTCCTCGCTCCACCACTATCTCTACGGCCTTGGGCAAGCACTTCTCTCTGACCCTGGTTTCCCACCTGGGAAACGGGGATATGTCTACCTTGAATAACAACAGCGATGTGCTGCTTCCCACACATTCATTAGCTTCCATAGTTAATGTCCCAGCAATCCCGTGAGGCAGGAAGTGCCATCTCCCCATTTGTAGGTAAGGGAGCACCTTAAGAAGGTGAAGTGTTTTGGCCAAGGCCACCAGGTGGCAGGGGTTGTTTTGAGGCTTAATGACAGCATGAATGCCTGGCCCAGAGAAGGTGTTCAAATGAGTGGTGGTTGTCACCATTGCCTTCATGAGGAGAGTGTCAAGGACAGCTTCTCAGAGGTGAAACCTGAACGAGTCTTGGTAAGATTAGTGGAGGGAAGAGAGAGCTTTCCAGACTAAAGCAATAAAGGTGGGCAGGACTGGGTGTAGGGGTAGGGGTCTGGCCCTCCTGGATCAGGAACCATAAGGCAGGCAAGAGGAAGTGGGGGGAGGGGGGCATCACTCCAGGCCCTTGCTGCCCCTGGGACCTGCCCTCCCAGGCAGCCCCTCACCAGGCCTGTGCCCTGGGATGGGGCAGGGGGGAAGCTGGCAGCCCTGGAGGAGTTCCGGCAGCAGAAAGAGGATCTTTCGGAGAAGTTCACATTGCTGGAGGACCAGCTGCAGAAGCAGGAGTACGAATACAAGGACTACATGTACAACCTGGAGAAGAAGTCGGTGCTGGACAGGGACAGGTGGGCAGGCCGGGTGCGGGAGCCTTCATGGGGGGGCGGGGGGGCAGGCGCAGCCCAGTCCTCAGACCTCTGTTTGCCTCACAGAATTCTGATTGGGGAGCCTGTGCTAGCTCATTGACTCCCCATCCTGAGCTCCCCGGGATCCCAGCAGGGTTATGGAGGGTGTGAGAAAGTAACCAAGCTCCCCAGCTGTCCTCACACTGGCATTGGGGAATCCCTGAACTTCCTTTTGCCACGTTTTGTGACTTAAGTCATGTTTATTTCATAGCTAATACACTGATTTGGTTCATAATTCAAGGTACAAAGGGTGCCATAGCAGGTTCGCTCAGTGGATAGAGCATCGGCCTGTGGACTGAAGGGTCGCAGGTTTGATTCCAGTCAAAGGCACATGCCTGGGTTGTGGGCTCAATTCCCAGTAGGGGGTGTGCAGGAGGCATCCGATCAGTGATTCTCTCTCCTCATTGATGTTTCTCTCTCTCCCTCTCCCTTCCTCTCTGAAATCAATAAAAATATATATATGTTTTTTAAAAGGTACAAAGAGTCTACAGTGAGAAGACTCCTGCCCACAGCCCACCCCTCCTGGAGGGATGAGCAGAGAGGTGGCCCTAGGCACTCTGGGCACCTCCACATAGGAAGGGGTGCCTGAGGTCTGTGCCCACTCTGCCTGACCCCCTTCATTCCCACCCATCCCGAGTAGAGTGAAGAAGGAAATCATTCAGCGTGTGAACCAGGTGGCCACTGACTTCCACAAGATGGCCACTACCCAGATGTGGGACACAACGAAGCAGGCCATCCTGGAGAACAACACTGTGACCCTGCAGCTGTCCAGGGTCTCCCAGCATGGCATGCAGCTGCTGCGGGAGAATGACCAGCTCAAGAGCAACCAAGACAAGCTGTGCAAAGAGCTGGAGCTACTGCAGAACACCAAGCAGGCCATGGCCAAGCACAGCAGAAACCACCATAAGGTGTGCCTGCCAGGCCCTCACCACAGGGTGTTTGGCACCTAAAGCTGGAGGGAATCCTAGGGGCCCGGCCCTGAGGGCAAACACATGCTTGGCAGGGGTGTACCTGGCCTGGAGCCAAGTCCTGAGGGAGCAGCTGTGAGGGGACCAGCCCTACTTGTGGGGGCTCTAGGGTGCTGGCCCCAGCTCATTTCTTTTTTCTTCTTAAATATATTTTTATTGATTTCAGAGAGGAAGGGAGAGGAAGAGAGATAGAAACAACAATGATGAGAATCATTGATTGGCTGCCTCCTGCACGCCCCCTACTGGGGATCGAGCCGCAACTCGGGCATGTGCCCTTGACGGGAATCGAACCAGGGACCCTTCAGTCCGCAGGCCGATGCTCTACCCACTGAGCCAAACCGGCTAGGGCAGCTCATTTTTCTTTATTTGATTTAAAGCCCCTCTCACTTGTTGAAGTGGAACCCACTCCCCGAGAGCGGGGGGCTCTGCTCAGCTGCTCTTCAAGGATGTGACCTCTCTGTGCAATGGGGTGAGCCCTGGCTGAATCTAGAGCTGGGGGTGTGGGGCTGGGGCATGGCCACCTGCTGCACCCACAGGTCATCCTCATGCTGACTGAGAAGTGCCACAAGCAGCAGGAGGGCAAAGCGGAGGCTGATCAGCTGCGCTTCCTGCTGCGCGAACTGGAGCAGAAAGTCCTGCAGCTGCAGAAGGAGAAAGAGGCACTGAGGTGGGGCCCGCGGTGGGCGGACAGGGGGAGTAGGCAGGAGCCCATCTCCGTATGGCCACATGACGCAGGCCAGTGACTTCCTCTCTCTAGAAGGGCCTCGAGGCCCCCTGTCAAACAGCCTGAGGCCCGGGCTGGATGAGGGACTCTGTAGGCTAAGGAGCAATGGCAGGGCCAACACCCCGGAGTAGGGAGGTGCTGACTCATCGGTCCCATGGCCAGGAGCCAGAAAGCCCAGCTGAGCCAGCAGCTGGAGCGTCAGCACACCGAGGAGAAGCGGCTGCAGCATGAGCTGGCCAAAGAGCAGAAGATGCGGGCAAGCCTGGCGACGACCCTGACCCATACCACCAGCTTCCTACAGAACATTCTGCAGGTGAACAAGTGGGTGAAAGTGTGTGTGTGGGGGGGGTGTCAGCCCAGAGGTAACTGGGCCCGCGGAGAAAGCCAAGTCGGGGCCAGACGCCCCAACTTTTCCCTGAGAGACTCCTGGCAAGTCTGCCCTTTTCTGAGCCTGCAATTCAAAGATCCCTTCAAGGTCTTGAAGAAACTGGAGTCCTTCTCTGAGGCCCTGGAAGGCCTTGGGCCTCGGTCTTCCCATCTGGAGAATGGGTATCCCACCACAGCCAGGGAACACTTTTTAAAACAGGCACTGGGGTTGGAGTGTCCCAGAGGTGGGTGTTGGGGCCACTATGGGCCTGATCCCCATGGGCCACCCCCACTCCTACCAGCACCTGCAACCAGAGGAAGAGGACGGCAACTACGAGATAGTGTTCCAGTTGCACTGCAAGGAGATTCTGCGGCAGCTGCTGGCCATGCTCAGCTCAGCCGTGGTCCTAAGCCCCCCGATGATTGTGGGTCCCCAACATCATAGCCACCCCGACAGGTGAGTGACCTTGTGTGACCTCAGAAGCAGCAGCTATAGGACTTGCCGAGGGCTGTCTCAGAGACCCTGGGCCAGAATTTGGGCTCCCCAAAGCCTTTCTGAACCTCAGCCTCCTCAGCTCTGAAATGGAGGTGATGACACCACCCCCTCCCTGCAGCCAGTCTAGCATCTCGCTACCTAAGACTGGGTCAATGCTCCAACGGCTGTCCGACCTCCAGACCTCCCAGCTGGCAGACCTGGGCCTGGTGCCTCGACAGGTCCGCATCTCACCCAACCCTGAGGACCTCCGGCTGCTCTCACACTTCACTCGGATGAGATCATTCCAGACACTCAGCAGCACTGAGGTGAGAGTGCCTGGGACCTCGATGACAGCCAGCCCTGGGTGCGATCATGGCTCAGTCACACTGCAGCTGTGTGGCCTTGGGGATGTGGCCAGACTTCTCTAAGCCTCCATCTCCCCATCTGTGAAATGGGCTGAAGAAAGGTGTGACAAGGTCTCAGTGGCCTAAGGAATGCCCACACAGCCCCTGGGCGGGGGGCTTGCTGGGTCCCTCCTCCACAGGCAGGAGGAGGGTAGGAACCCCCAGAGGAAGCTTCAGCTTCCGAGCAGGCATCTTTAATCTTACAGATCCAAACCTCGGAGACTTCAAAAAAGATAAAAAAGTTTAGTCTTCCTGAAGTTTCCCTGTTTTCCAAGTAAGACACAGAGAGACGACCAACCCTCATCCCCAAAATGGACCAATCCAGCCACAGTCCCTTTTAATCCCAGGAAGCCTGGAGTAGTCCAGAGAAGAGTTCTATAAAAAGTGGATACCACAGGTTGGCGTGGCACCTCTGTGGATGTGGCTGGGTATCTGGGCGTGGCAGGTGAGCAGGCTGATGTGGCCACTGGTGTCAGGTGCCTGGCAAGGGCCCCTGGCTTCGCTCACGGATGTGGTCCAGGAGCAGGTCTGTGGCCCGCTCCAGCACTGGCAGCAGCAGTTCCTGCTCCGACGGGGAGAAGCAGCCCAGCACGTGTGCCTGCACGGCGTCAGGGTGCGTCGGGCGCCCGATGCCCACTCGCAGCCGTGGCATTGCCTGTGGAGGAGCGGAGGGGCCCAGGCAGCTTTGGTGAGGAGTGTTGGCCCCATGCCGAGCCACCCGACCCAGAGCAGGACCAAGGGGGCGGACTCACATTGGAGTTGAGGCAGCAAATGCAGGAACGAACTCCATTATGGCCCCTTCGAGGGATAGGAGAGGGGCAGTCAGTGCTTCCCTGGGTCAGCCCCCATCCCTCTCCCAGCTCGGCTGGGGTCAGCACCCCCACCCCACTCCAAATGGGAGGCCCACTTCCTGTCCCATCCCGACAGGCTCGGGGCTCACCTGGCGCTTCCGCCCAGCTTCAGAGCCAGTTTCCCCAGGGGCTTGTCCAGGTCGTCGTGCACCAGGTAGACCTCCTCGGCAGTCAGCCCCAACAGCTCCGCTAGGCACAGGGAAACGGTGACCCCGTTACCGCTCATCTGCCCAGAGGGCGTTTCCCAACTCCCACCTCCCGTGAGAGGCCACAATTTTAAGAAACTGAGGCTCCCACAGTCCCCGAGGCCAGGCGGCAACTGGAACTCTGGAGGGGAACCGTGGCCGCAGCCCCGAGTCCCCTCTGGCCCCTCCG